AAGAGCTGCAAAGTTTGTGCTGTTATGTCGAACCCTATTGATTAAAAAATCCTGCAAATTATTTTTTTTTTGGACAACGGTGTATATTTTCTGAACTGAAAATGACATAAATAAACAATTTACTCAAAGAACAAAGAATAAATCCTGGTATACCCAAATACTTTAAGGTACTATTCTTGTCTTTTTTGAGTTTTTGAGTTAACCATTAATGAAATCTTCTGCGTAATTGTTTATTTGTTGTGTGGACCTCAGAAAATACAGAAAACATGAGCATATATATACAGCTCATCCAGCTGCTGAGCGACAGGCTGCAAACTGCTCCAGATACCACACATCTGTCCAGCGGATCACTCTGGCTTACTTAGCATAATCTACGCTTAATTCCCCCTCTGCAAGCATATATGTGGGTCAGTGTGTCACTCCATCGGTGACACACTGAATAAAATATTATAAAAGCAAATATTAAAAAACAAACAAACAAACAAAAAAACAACCTTCTCAAAAAAATAAAAATAAATACACATTTTCAGGGGTTTTAGTGAAGGATCAGATTTTGAGTGAGAAAAATAGTTTCTGTTATGTAGTGTTAGATAATGAACAACAGATGGCAGTAGAATCCACCAACTGGAGATGATCCAACAGCAAATTAAATATACAAATGAGCAAGAACCTGCCAGAGACAAAAAAAGAAAGAAAAAACAAAACTCATGCAAGACATGCAAGTAGTATGACGTACTAACCCAATAGTCACCGTTCTTTGTGTGCAATAACTACAGAAGGAGAAATGTTTAACTTAAACAATAGGAAAGAAAACCTGGAGCTAAAGTAAAATTTCTGAAACACAGACACAGAGAGGATGCATCTGCAAGAGATATAAATAAATCTTGGAGAGGTTGGTTACATAAAAGCATGTAGTGAGGTGATGTAAAAAATTAAAAGCAAAGTCGCACGCTGTTAGCTGCAGTCCACTGCTATAACAGCCAAGTGGAGTGAAAAAAAATGATAAAAAAGAGTCTTTCTGGGGGTGGACAGAGTAAGAACTGGTGAGGCTGCTGTAGATTTTGGACAACATCGATCCCACCACTGATGGGTTTGTGTCGCACATCAGAATCTGTCCACACAACTTTAAAAGTACACACTTAAAAATATTATTTATAACTATTTTTCCTCTGTTGAGCCCAGCATGGGCTGGCATGTGTGTCACGATCACTTTTCTGATTTTCTCTGAACTATTCTGAAAAGTCCAAATTTTCTATCAACTAAGGCAAGTGGTGTTGCCAAAGAGTGTGGATTCCAGCATGTTTGCCAAAAAGTTAGTTCACTTAACGAGGGAATGAGAACATGAAGCAGCAGGTGGTGCGTGGGTGAAGGGAGGAAAAGATGTCACATGAATATATTAAAAGGAAGAAAAAAATATAGTTCTTTTAAGAACTAATGATTTTCGCAGTGATTAATAAAACAATACATGTCATCCTATTCATATAGCTTACTGTCACTGTTAATGACTAAAATGTGGGTTAGCAGTTGTAGGATTCAAAGAAATTCACTTCCTTTGAATGTGCTGTTATTCTCAAATACTTTTCATTTTACTCAATAGATTGAGTAAGAAGACAATTGATTTGTCTACTTACAACTTCAACATAACTTGAACTTGAAAATTACTGCAAGGAAAAAACATGGCGGATTCACCAAACCAAAAGTGGAGTACTCTGTGAGGTGGAAGCTCACAAGAATTTGTTTTCCATTTGTGTGAAACGTAAGTTCACTTTGGCCGCTTAGCATTAATGATCAAAAATAATTAGTCTGAATCAAATTTGAGGAACTTTAGGACTGTTTGATTTTACAAAATAGTGTAACCACTGCAGGTAAGTTATGCTCTATTTGAAACACACACTGATAATTATCATTGAGGCACATTTTAAGGTGGATCCCTGAATTAATCTGGTGTTAGGAACTCAAATCACATTTAAAAAGCCTCAAATATGGAGTGATTTTGGTTTTGGAGGGAACCAGCTTTCACTCTTCTAGTCCAATAATAGGTTTTTCATAGAAAAAAAAAAGAAAAAAAAAACAATTTTGAATGAACTTTTGCTAATGTGAGCAAGTTTTTACTCAAAAATCTTTGACACCGGAGTACAAAGAACAGCATATCACCAGGAAGATAACAATAACAATGTGTGCCAAGTCAGAATCAGGCCTTAGGCAAATCATCAGCCTCTGCTCCCAGCTCTGGAAAGCTCAGCTTGCTGTCTAAAGGTCTAAAGATGAATATTCATGATGGGGAACCTTGTAGCAGGGCTTCTTTAAAAAAAACAAAGATTACAGTTCATGCATGAACAACAACAATAAAAAAGAAAATAAATTACACTCCATGGATGCAATCATGTTTATAGTTCAGAAAACTGAATAGAATGCTTTTGTGTGTTGTGTGCACACAGTTTTCTGGTTTCCTCCCATGCATATGTAATCATGTGTTGTTGCTCCACTGCTTCGTCCGTAGAGATGAAGCTGTGCAATGTTAAAGTGAAAGCAGGCAAAGGCTTTTGTAAATTTACAAAAGCCCCAATAAAAAAATCAGAGTGAGGTTTCAAGCCTGCATGAATCATTCAACTTAGAATATAAATATCTATCAGCAGGACAAACGACTGAGCTCTAATTATTTCTCAAAGAAGTGTGACAAAAAAGTCAGTCTTTCGAGAACTGGCGTTGGGACACTCTGTGGTTTAATCAAGTCTTGATCACAGAGATATTGACGCAGCTTTAGAGCTTTACATATTTGATTACAGTGCAAATTTCTCTGATATCAGGTTTCCTGTTGAATACTTTCCTATATGTTCTCATAATTTTGAAAATTGGAACTGTTAAGCAATAACTATGCTATACTTAAATAGTTAAACTGTACACATAATCATTATACATATTGTCCAATATGTATGTTTATTAGTGAATAAAATGCTGCTGTTTTAACCAAAACCAATTATTTTATAACAATGGGATAAAACAATTTACCATTTTTGTTGCCCACTTTGTTCGTATTTGTGTATTCTTAGTTTTGCTAAAAGCACTTCATTAACTCTGGAATGTTTTATAATGCAGCAGCGTAATGAAAGGCTCCCTTTGCTCCTGAGTGTAAAAGTTACTGTTATTCCGGAGGAGGTCGATCGCACACTGAAACCACAATGCACAAAAACAATACTAAGCGCTGAAACAGAGATACAGCATCATGGCAGTAGATGTTCAATACGACTGGCACTCTGTTTCATAAGCTATTCGTGTTTAAAGAACAGAGACAGGATTACTGACAAATAACGAGAACATCTTTCCGCAAGCTTCTTTTTTTTTTTTTTTTTTTAAATCTTTGTTATTTTGGATTCCATTCCGTTTCATTTAATTACTCTGTTCCAGCAGTGATGATTAAGCTCCTTAGCGCAAATTCAGGTTTGGCATTGGCTCGGCGTATATGAAGCCGCTTCGCCCACATAAAACCCTGAAGGTGTGAGGAAGATGTATTCTTGCAGAAAAGTGAAAAACTTTTTTCTTTTCGTCTTTTAAAAAAAATGCAATTTCTGCATCAAAAATCGAATGTCATGGTTGACAATGCAAAAGCAGTTTGCGAACGTTGCAGTCAACTCATTTGTTTTTTGCAGGAAGCGTCCTATCAGAACCCAGTTCCATTCAATGCACACCGCTATTGTTCATTTGTGGAATAATCCCCAAGACGAAGCTGGTTTTAATTATGCGGCGCCTGCAGATTTGGAATGATTTAATATGCCATGCATTTACATAGGCTGAATTCAAAAGTCAGGTTGGAACAAACAGACTTCCCCTGAAAGCGGGCAGAGCAGCATGACTCTCTGACTCATCATTTATGTTTTTTTTTTTCCCCCACTGACACTGAAAGTAACTTTTAACTACGGGATGAGATGTCACAGGAAGAAAGGGGCCATTGCTTTTAGAGTACATCATGACTCTTGCCTCAGGGACGCATGCTAATGTGACCTGTCTGTTTGGCCTGTGAAACTGTGCAGCAGATATCTAAAAGACGGATCTCAGGGAGAAACATTTTGGTGGGTATTGACCTGAACATTTCACACACTAAAGTCGCTGCATGGCAAATAGAATAAAGGTTAATAATGAGTAACTTTGTCCGCAATCTGTATATATATTCTTAGGGGGGGATCACGGCCTGAATTGAAGTAATTTGTGGGTTTTTGCATCATTTTTGCTTTTCGTCTCAAAGCACCTCAAACTCTCAGTTTTATCTTGATTTCACATTGTGTACTACTTATATTCAGATGGAATAAGTAATCCATAATCTGAAAGTAGAGGAAAAATGATGTATGGTTTTGATACTTTTCATAGTGAAGATTTATGATTGTGCATTTGTATTCAACCCCTCTGAGTAAACACTTGACCTTTCCCTGCTGGTACACTGCCAACTACTTTCTCAGTTTTCTGCACCTAAATTTGTCAATGTGAAGATTCTTTGCTTAATTTCTTTTTTGCAAAGCACCAAGCTCAGTCAGACCGGAAGGACATAATTCCTGGACATCAACTTTCAACTGAGCTAACTTTCAACTTAGCTCACCACTAACTTGGACAGCCTGAACATTTTTGTAAGTGTGACCAAAAAGTTAGAGCAAAGTTCACATAATGCTTATTTTAGGATTTGCTAATAATGGAGGATTTAATTTTTGTGTAACCTGACACAATTACAGACTTACTGTTAAAGGAATTTTTTTTTGTTCCCTCAACAGATGCTATTAGAAGACACCCACAGCTGTTGAGGAATGACAGTTTCTAGTGCGGTAAACTGGTCACAAGCCTCCACCAGCACTGTAAGATGTACCAGGCCCAAGCTGTGAACTGGTAGAAAGCGGCTCAATAAAAGCATGAGTGACGCCAGATGCTGCTAATACATAGAACGACACTGAATAAGACAGACTGGACACACAAAATGTTGAGAAATTTGGAAGTGCATAAGCCAAAAGCAACCATACCTTTAGTGAGGGTTCCTGACACCAGTCTCTGCAGGGACTGAATTAGCTTTTGCAGCCCCTGCCTGCAGCGGCTGGTACAGCCAGCCATTGTGGGGTTGAGGCAGGGGCAGACGGGGCGGGTTTACACCAAGGTATCTGAAGAAGTCAAAAATGACCCCAGCGTAATGCTGCAAGAAGAACCGGCGGAAGGAATCGTGGGATCATCAGGTGGGGTCAAGGGATGAGATGTCCTTTTGGAGAGAAACAGAGATATATATATATATATATATATATATATATTTTTTTTTTTTTCCACCAAATAAGGTTATTAATAGCAGCTGTGAAACATCCCGGTAGCCTGCTTATCTTAAATCGACTGTCGCACTCGTACAATACAAGAATTACACATGACACACTCATGCACCTGCACGCACACAATGTGTGGTAAACTTTACAGACAGCTAAACAAATCAATGTTACAGTTGCCAAAAAGATTCAAAAATAACCCTTTGAGATGGCAACTGAAGCACAGACATCTGAACAAACATGAAACAAAGTGCTAAAGGAGTAAATTGTTGCAGCAGAAACCAAAGCTAAGGAGAAGTAAAATATTTAAAGAAACTCCAAAGGCAGAACATGCTGCATCCAACTCAAAGTTTGTTCGCCAGCAGGCAGAAACAGTTGTCCCATCCGGTTTTGCTCACCTTGCCAGCCTCCTTTTCTTGTCTTCTGTTCTAAAAACCTTTTTGTCCCACTCCACTCCCGTGCCGCTGTTATTTCTGTATGAGGATTTCCCCTGAACTGCAGAGGCAGCCCTGCAGGCTGTGAAGGAGCTCTGCACTAGTGCTCTGAGCAGAACTAAACTGCATAAAGCGCCAGCAGCCACCACCGTACCCTCTCCTTCCCCTCCCTTCTTGGTGGTCCCTCCTCCCTCCTCGCATTTTTGCTCCCTCGCTTTCAGTCCGGTTGAAGCTCCTTGAGTTCTTTTTTAAAGTGCAAACGCAGCTAGACGATCCGGTAAGCAGTCTGGGTAAAGATCAGCATTTTATGTGGTAAGACCGGAGGTTTAAAGCTTGCGAAGCCTAAAAGGTAAACTTTTATTTTTTATTTTTACACGCAATAGCAATAAAAAGTACAAATTACATGTTTGAGCACTAATATTGACAATAAAAAACATAATCTTTGTTTAAATAACCATTTGAAAAATAAATAAGAATCAGAGACATCTTTTTTTTTGTCAGTTTGGTGACAACTAAGAGGCTATCATCCTCGAAGCAGTACCAAAGTCCCACTTGCGGTGGAACACAGCAGACTACTCAGTGTCGAAGTCACTCTTAAAACAGATTATGTAAGTCCGCAGTGTGCTTTTTGGAGACAGAGCTTTTTATTTCTCACTCCAGTGAACTGGGGAAACGCTCCGGGAAAGCATGACGCAGTGCTGCCTCTGTCCATTTCCTTCCCCCTCATCTTGTCTATATTTAATGCTTATAGATTCTATTTATCCGCTCACAGCCACTCTTTCTGTTTCAGGAGGCCACAGTCTGGCAGTGTTTTCGCCCTGAATACCAGCCAGTAAAAGATGGATACGTACACGCACACAAACACACAAAAAAAACAAAGTAAAGAATGAAAATAGAGGTGAAAACAAAAGAATTCAGGTTGTTTTGCTAGCTTAGTTTCAGTACATGTATCTTTTTCTGATGCAGAATAAAATATTGGGTTAAAATGCTGTTTTCATTTTCTGTACCCACATTTTCCAGGAAAGCTGCTGCAAATATTGAACATTGCTCACAAAAACATATACTAAGTACTGAGCAGGTAAAAAGGAAGGGAGTAATGAAGTCTCTGTGAACTACCATAAGAACATATGTCTTAAACAATTGTTTACCATAACTTAGGGTTTTTGAGTTTGTTGTCTTTATCTAAGAAAAAGAAGAAGGAAAAAGTATTATGATTTTTTTAAGTGAGTAGTTCAAGTTCACACCTGCTAAAAGAATAAAAATGTCAATTTTATCATTAGAAAAATTTTCAGTTTTTTAAACATTAATACTTTAAATCTCTGATTTTAGGTCTGTTAGTTATGGCTATGTGATCATAATGTTAATGATGTGTTTTGTAAGTCTAATCTGCACAGCAAGCCTGACAATAATGGACACATGTTTGCATCTATCAAGGTTGATCATTATGGTTATTTAGAACTAAATGAGTTTGTCCTGATGAAATACTATTGAACCTCACGATGTTTTACAGCTTCTATTGTACAATCCAAGAACCTCATTGACCCAAGGGAGGAATTGGTCAGCAATCTCATTTGCACCATGTAATCATGTCTGCTCCAGAGAAACCATTAAACAGCCACGCAGGGTCAGTACATAGATACCAGCAAATGACTGCTTTATAATCTGAATCACTTCTGGGGTCCTCTCTCTATGTTTCAGCCTCCAGGTATCCATGTAATATGTCACCCAAAGCCTTTATGGTTAATGTCAAATCACGTTATGAAGAGTAAAATACTAAAATACACCTGGTATGACACTCTAAAGTATGGATCACAGTACACTCTCCAAAAAATTTTAAACCTTTACAATTTAAAAAATGTCAGCAAGGGTAGAAACCTTGCGAGAAGAAAACATTTAGTGTCCATGGTGATTTGGGGATATTTATGTGATCGGGTTTTCCAGGAGGAAATGTTGTTGCTATAGCAAAGAACATTTCTGCAACGAGAGAGAGAGAAAAAAAAGAAAAAGAAAAGTGATACAATCACCTAATAAATTCAGCTTTTCAACTAAGGCTTCTTTAATTTCCTGGTTTGAAGGGTCAGTTTTGTTTTTATTATATCTATCTTTAGGGTTACCTGTGTGGTATCATCAGCACAAAAACAACTGCTGTCAGCTGGAAGCGGGTCACTACAGCAGCATCTCAGTGCCTCCCACACCTTCAAAACCCCCGCACTGAGCATGCTCAGACTAACCTGTTCCACGATTCTCTACACATCATCTGGCCAGGGAACAATGAGAAGTGGCAGCCTCAGAGGAAAGCCATTCTGGGACCTGACCTAGTGAGGAAGAGCCAGAAACACAGAGGAAGAAGAAATTAGTGGAGAAAAAATTTCATAAACGCTCCCATTTGCTCTCATTAGGCATTTTACTCCGATCAAATGACAGGAAAAGGAAGAAGAGAAAAACACTCCACATCACCCTGAACACACCACTTCGACTGAAACATGCTGGCGGCAGCATCATGCTGTTGAGGGTCAAGGAAGCTGGTCAGAGTTGATAAAACAAAAAGTTAGATGAAGCTAAATACAGATTGATCCTGGAAGAAAACTGTCATTTCGGCTGTTAAAAAAACTCTTGCAGGGAAGAAAATTTCCAGTAGGAAAACAACAACAAGCATAAATATAGTTGCAACAACAATAAAAAAAAAATTCAAGAGTTAGAACGGGGTAGCTAAAGTACACATATACAAATCCAGCTGAGAATCTGAGTAAGTACTTGAAAACTTAACTTCCCAAGTGCTATCACGGATTTTTATTGAATTTGAACTTTTTTGCAAAAACAAAATGAAATAAAACAAAAACGGACCAAAAAATGTAGTCTGTAGATCAGTTTTGATGATGTGGATGGATGGATGGATGGATGGATGGATGGATGGATGGATGGATGGATGGATGGATGGATGGATGGATGGATGGATGGATGGATGGATGGATGGATGGATGAATTTTCTACAAAAAACTACAAACATACCAATACAACAGTAGAAGCTGGTTGGAACCAGAATTACAGAATTCCTTCAAAAGATGAAATCCTTTGAAAGACTTCATAGAAATGGATGCTTTCACGCAGGTTACAGTAGAAAAATTAGACAAACAAGTATTCAAAATGAAACACAAAGCAAAGGTTTGATTAAAACATAGCATGCAGTGCTGCTTTTAATTCCCGCGCCCCCTGTTTAGCCCAGATGAAAATGTGTAGCTCCCACTGCAATCAGCAGAGGAAATTTCTCTAATTATCCATGGCAACCGCTCTCCTCTGGGGGTACATTAGAACATGTGCTTTAACAAACAATTACCTGCTCTCCAATAACAGCTCCTCTGCAAGCTCATGCAATGTGGGCTTGAGTAGCTGTGAAGAAATCACAAACAAAATTATATTTTAAGTTTGGCTCCTCACCGCCCACCTCCCATCCTACTCACTCGCATATTATATGTGAAATGTAAACACTTTCCTTTTCCCTCGGCGAGAAATAAATAGCATGTAATTAAAGCCAGCTTGCAGAGATGACTTATAGCTTGCAGAAGGAATCTTTTTTTTTCTTTTTTATTAACAAACATATTTTATTACTCCATTATAGTCATAATGGCTTCTTGCATTGTAAGTTCTTCCCTCTGCTTCGCTTGATTTTCGAACTGAAACCTTTAAGTGGAGTGGTCCAAGAGCTTCAATTTGTATGCCAAGTGTATATTATGATCTCGCTCTCTTTTGGGACTGTTATAAATTTTATTATTTAAGCATTCTCTAATGAACAACCATACAAATAATTAAGCTTTCAGTCTTACTGCAGTCCTTCTCTGAATACTTCCAAATGTACCTTCAAAGAAAATATAAATAAATAATTTTTTTTAAATTTCTGTTATGAATTGTCTTTCATAATGTGCATGACTGAGCTTCTCTGTCAAACTCATGAAAAAAACTGAATGTTGATCCATACTGCCATCTGGTGGAAGTTTATAGCATGTGTCTTCATATTGATGACACTGTTTTTCTGTTTGGGTTGTTTCTAAAACATTATTACTTACATAATTTATCACGTCTGTTTTCAGAAAAATTCAATTTTCAATTTAAGGTGTGGGCTCAGCATTATGCATAAAACATGTTGCTGTTGTACCACACAAGCTATTTTACTTGGGACTTAAAAAAATGTCTTCAGTTCTATATTTTTTTCACATTATTTTATCCATATGTCCCATTTGAAAAATGATTATCAATTGCAATCATGTAAAAAAACTTTGCTTCTCTGTTCAGTGTGCCTGAGCAGCATGTTTGAGATGGACCAATTCAAATGAACTGGCACTGCTTAAGAAACCGAAATAGATCAATGAGGCAACAGTGACCGCTCAAGATAAAGACTCTCCATTACTTTTGTGAAAGCGAACATCCTCAGAAGGTATTTGGAGATGAGTGATATATTAAAAAGTGCTTCTCTCAGACCGGTGTTAGCGTTCCACAGATAAAGAAGTTTTTGCCTGGCCTGAGCTGTTAACCTATATTACTCTGCTCTTGCACTTACCTCCTGTGTTCCCTGAGGAGGTACAATAAATCCCTACTCATTAAGTTCTTTCATCTCCAGTGGCAAGGAATTATTAATATTTCACTTTAAGTAAAAATGGTTATGTCATGAGAGTTCTTGTTCCCATTAATCCCTAAATTAAAGGTCATGGGTTAGCATGCAGTGCTATAAAAAAGAAAAAATCACCATATTTGTCCACCTTTTCCTTTATGTCACAGTTAAATATGAAGCATCCTCAAAGGTTTATTTTTTTATGTCCTTTATTTAACCGTGTAAAATCACTTTGAGATCTAGGTCTCATTTTAAAGAAATTTTAACAAAAAAGATACACTTAATGCAAAATGCAAGATGTTTTTTTTGAAACTGCTCTATCTGAAAAAGTAATTAATCCCTAAACCTAATAATTAGTTGCTCCCCACTTGACTGTCACCCAGCATTTGAAATCAATTTTAAGATTTCTGGAGGATTTTTTTATCCATCTTCTAAATTCTTTTATTCGGCCACTGAAAAACCTTTAGGATGGATAACATTTTTAAGGTTAATGCCACATAAGTGCAGATTTTGACAAGACCACACCAAAATCTTTATTTTATTTTTGTTTTGAGTCATGCAGTTGTTGGTATGCATCATATCCATGTCTTGCTGCGTAGCTCAAGTGAGTTTCAGCTTAAGTTCACAAACTCATGGACAGACACTCAGTTGAAGTGTTATCCAGGTACTGCAGCAAAGGCAAGTATTTGTCATCCATCACTATGTTTGACTGTTGATATGCTGTTTTTTTTGACATGCCGTGTCAGTGTTATGCCAGATGTAATGTACTGCACAATTTCCAAAAAGTTTCACTTTTGTCTTGCCAAACCACAAAACATTTCCCCCCAAATATCCTAATGTTTATGTTCATTGAAAGGCTCAAAACCTTTCATTTGTGGACGATCACATAGGGAGATTCCCTAAATCAAATCAAAATCATTTTGGCACTGCATTGACTATTTACTCAGGTTATCTTTGTTTGAGATTATAATTTGACTAATCATCTTAAATGTTTGGAATTATGACAAAACAACTCGGTATACTGTAGTATATTGATGCTCCTTCATGGGGTGTACACACCACTTGGTGTTTAAAACTCTTCCCAATCTCACAGCAGCATAATGTTTGTCTCTCTTGAATAGGGTTGTGTTTACAAAAGTCATCCTGCAAAACCATGATTCTCTATCAAGATGCTGCTCTGCCATTTGAGAGCTGGACAAAAACTCCTGTTGAAAGCTGCTTTACAAGAAACATTAGATCAACCACAGCGTTAGTTTGCTCTTTTGTATCATCAAGCTCGATCGAACTACATCCTGTATGTAGGATGCATCTCTGTGCCACTCGATATTGCAATATTTCTTGTTTGTTTCATCGTTTACATTTTTCCTTACGCAAAATCTATAAAACCTTTTATTTTCATAGTAATGATAAAAAAAAGATTTACAAAACCTGTAAATAAGTCTCTTTCTCTGACTTGAATAATTTATAGTCAAACACAACAACTTAATAATGCAATTATTGACATTGAGATAAAAATTCTGCTCTTTATACAGCGGATGGGGTTTTATTAATCTTTGTGCCATTGAAATGTTGCACAGGAGAACACAAAGTACAAGTAAACAAGATAACCTCAATGAAAATGACTAAGGATTTTAAATGACAGATATGATCTTTGTATTAGACTTTGTATAAACAGTGAGACAAGTACTATAGTGGATTGGCCCTATGCTGATGGGGCAATATATTTTCATCAGGCATATGATGACGCACTTTGAATGGTGCAATCGTGGCGTGTTTTTCATCTCATTTGAAACAATGATCAAGAAAATATATGCATTCTGACCTTAGACAAGGTAACACTTTTTTCTTGGTTGATGTTCCTGTTGTTTCCTTTTACAGGAGTTCAGTCTATGTTAAATACCACCTCACTTTTTGACCTTTATTATTCACAAAGGCATAAGAGCTCATACTGACAGTGACAAGTTATTAACATGTTTGACTGCATTGTTTCATTTAATGTTATATTTACAACCACACATGATATTTCTGGTTGAAAAGTTGACCTGTATTTTGGGTCCAACCCACAACCCAACCCTGTTGGGTTAAATCAATCCAAGGCGTACTCAGTCCATATTTAACTTTGAACCAAAGCCTGTTGAATGCTAAGTAGTTAGCACAAATTATAGCAATCTATGAGTAGCATTCACTTCTACCAAAAGAGCTACTTTAAAAGGTAATATAAATAGACCAAGAAGAAATTTTTATGTATTCTTTTTTAGCTACTGCATATCTATATTACTTGCTACAGCCATATTACTTAAATTTTGAAAGATTATGCATTGAAGCTAAATAACTATAAATTTTGCATAATTTTTTATTCGTATGTAATCTGTAGTCTATTATGTTTTTTTTTTTTGCTGTTTGTAATCTAGTAATTTGGAATGTAGGAATAAACTAGGCATACAGTTTACTTATTTTAATATTACTTGCCTTGTAATTCAAGATACTGATTATTTTTCTGACCCACTCTTTTTCTTAGCATTAGACAATTATCCATAATCCAGTGACAAGTTTTGGGGCTGAAAACATAACCAAGTTTGCCTGGTCAAACCCACAACCCCTACTTTGTTTCAAATCGGCCTAAACCAGGACCTGTTTAGCAAAACAACTAAAATCGGATTGTTTTTAATCCAGCAAAAATGCTTTTAGACAGTTATGCTATGTATTTATATAAACAAGATTATAATAACAACACTCTTCATTCCACAGTAGCTTTCCATGCTATAAAAAAAATCTCTAAAGGATAAATTTATTTATGAAAATTCTATTAAAATGTCCAGGAAGTCCTTGAAGTGAATCTGCTCTGGTCAGGTGAAACATAAACCGGTTACGCATATCAAATCAGATAGTTGGTCACATATTCACTATGACTTGCATGGGTGAAGGGAGAGAAAACAAACAGTTTGCATCCTTTAGGCACCGGTGTTCCCAAGCCTTTTGCTGGAACATGTACTGGGATATATTACTTTATTAAACTCACCTAAAGACACTTCAGATACGTGAAAACTATGAAAGCAATGCCTTGAACCTTGGATTTAACTTCATCTTCATCTATAGCCCCACATATTGAAACACAAAATGACTATCTGACAGTAGAATAGTCTCTTAAGCTGGTGCTGTGAACAGTTTAGAAGATTTGTACCTGCAATGTTTACACAAGCTGTCCAAAGAACTTTCACCACGAATCATCTGCACAATGCCTTTCTTCACAGGATAGGCTCTTCTGTCTTTCAACCATAACCACGGCTGTGCTTTTCTTAGAGTTTTGGGAGACCCTGAATAACTTGAAAAAGGTCAATCTTTTGTGCAGAGTTACATGCGTAAGCTGCAGCGTCCTGCGTGACGATCCTCGACAGCGAAGCAGTTCCCCATAGGCTCGACGGAAATCCCTGTTGAATGCTGGATAGAGAATGGGATTGAGGGTAGAGTTCAAATATCCTAGCCACAGAACGACTGAATGGAGGGTGTTGGGAGGATTTGTCTTTTCCTGTACACCCATGCAGCTGAAGTAGCTGAAGTAGGGAAACCAACAGATGATAAATGCACCAAGTACAGCTGCGAGGGTGACTGTAGCCTTGTGCTCACGGGCTATAGCAGCAGTCGCTGAGCGTGCAAATGATGGAGTGGTAGCACGGATACGTCTTACCTGAAAAGATTGGTGGTGGGGTAGGGTTGGAGAGGCAGAGAAAACAAAATCATTTTTTTCATTAATCCAAGAAATCGATTTAAAAAAAATCTACATTCAAAATCACAAAATCTGCAACAGCTTTTTGGACAAGTGACAATATGATGTGTTGCCACATGAAGTCAACAGCCCAAAAACAAAAAGTACAAAAACTCCTCCACAAATATGTAAATTATTGTTAATAATTATTCATGTTAATTACATTTAACATTCTGATTTCCCTAGAATGTTAATTAAATATCTAACATGGCATCATATCAGTTTTCAACAACAAATGTGATGTACCTCTATGTCTGGCATTTTTTTTTTTTTTTGCCCTCCAATCAATGTATTGGGTTGTGTGATGCTAGCAGCTCCACCCTAACCATAACACATTATTGCGCTATGGAGCTCTGACTGAAAAGGGCCCAGAAATACTGCGGTACAGGCTGGTTGCGTGGGCCATTTTTACAATGGGAAAAGACAAAATGATGCACCCAAACCATTGACCCGCAACAAATCACTCAGGGAATTCGTGCTATTAGAACCGTCTGTCTGGTTTCAAATGGTTTCAGTTTATGGATGATTTAAGATGAATCAGTAATTGACACTGACCTGTTCGCGAGCCACTCTGAAAATGCAAAGATACATTCCGCACATGACCATCAGTGGTAAGTAAAAAGTGCCAAATGCATAAATAAGGACATAGTTGTTGTTCCATTCAAACTGGCAGTAGCGTCCTTTATCAGTGCCCTCATCCCCAAATTCCCAGTCCAAGTTTTGCACCCTGTAGTCTGCTGTATTCCAGCCCAGGTGGATGGGGAAAAAAGCCACGGTCAGCGACAGCAGCCAGATGAAGATGATGGCAAGCGACACCCTTCGTGGGGTGACTCTTTGAGAGTGGCTGAGGGGGGATGAAATGGCCAAGTACCTGTTCACACTGATTGCCAACAGGGTCAGGATGGAGCATGTACACAGCAAGACATCCATTGAGATGTAAATATTACACAGTGTTCCTCCAAAAGGCCATTTACTGTCGCGGAGCTCCAGCGTGGCAGACAAGGGGAGCACCAACACGCCAAGCAGAAGATCTGCCACTGCCAGCGACACCACAAAGCAGTTAGCTGTTCGCCACAAACGCCGGCTGAGCCCCACTGCCAAGCACACCAGTATGTTACCACCGATGGTCAGAAGTATAACAGACATGAGGAACAGCCAACGGAGAACTGTGGTGACAGTCATTTCCACTGCGTTACTGTCACTTTTAGCTAAATTAAAATGAGTTGTCCACTCGGCCAGTTCAGCTATTCAAAATATGTTTCTCCTTTTGGTGTATATTTGAGGCACGGCTGTCTTCAAAAGCACATCACTGCATGGAAAGGCCTTTTTCGCCATGTCTTTTCAAACTCTGACAATGTTGCTGAAGTAACCAGGCCCCTGGAAAGACAGAATAAACATTTAATGGATTCACATTCATTGAACGCACAAACACACTAATTTTTTCGCCTAGATTCTTTCAAATATCCCTTATGGACATGTTGGATTTATCAAATATAGTGTCATATGTTTGAATGTTTTTCTGACCCTGAAAAGTTTAATTAAAAAGAAATCAAAATCAAAAATGTTATAATCGAATCAGGTTGATTACTTTTAGAGGCATTGTGTACATGCATTAAGTTCATCTATCCTCCATAAAGTTTCAGGTTTCTAACAAGTTACTTCCTCAGCATGGTTACTGTGTTACTTTCTAACAATTTGTTTATCCCATAGACTGTTTGTTTTCTCATTTAGTTTGAAAAATATAGTCCTGTCATCTGGCTGCAGAGCAAGCTAACTTATGATCATCTGGCATCATTAGCACATCTTGCAGATTCTCTTGCAGCACCACACACTATACCACATTTTATTTTGCTAGAAATAACAATTCATAAAACAAAAATGGATTCAGGAGTCTGCATGGGAATCTGGAAGTAAGTGAAGTAAATGTATGCATTTCTTAATGGAAAAAGGGGGTGGACTTTAAAAGATCCCCAACACAAACACTATAAATAGATAAAAAAAATGAAAGAAAAAAAAAAAAACTGATAGACCCTGAGGTCAAAGAGTTGGTCTCTGGTGATTTATTGGAGAATGCGTAGGCAGAGCAGTAATTACTCACCAGTAGCGAGGTCACACAGTAATCTTTTATAAACAATCATAAAACATACAGTGTAGTGGTTGTATAAATGTAAACTCCATTGAAATAACTTGACATAAAACAAACAATTTATTGTGTCCCCTAACATAGTTTGAGAATACACCAGAGAGCTGTTTTATTTTTGTCTTTTTCTCATTTTTACATGCTAAAGTCATGCCCTATTAGTTCACTGCCTGAATTTAAAGATCTATGTTGTTCATATCCACCTTGTCTCAAAGCACAATAGCTTGTGAGAAATCAAACAAACAAAACATGCCAAATGCACTCACAATTATTATTTTTGTATCTTCTGTCAAGGCCCCAGCTCCCCCAACTGGTGAGGCTAAGAAAATGTGCATAAAGGTAATTTATGACACACACATTATTTGATAATCAAGAAGCTAAACTAATTTTACAGCAACATCTAATTTAATTGGATGATGTTAGGCAGTGCTTTCTTGGTCTCACCCCCACCCCACACACACACACACACACACCCACACACACACACACACCCACACACACACCCACACACACACACGCACACACACACATGCAAGTCTTTAATCTCTGAGAGAAAAAACAGAAACAAAATACTTCATTCAATACTAACATTCATCAGCGGCTAAGGAGCAGAAAATAAGATTTAATGTTTCTGAAGCCATAATGATTCATAAAGGTGCCACTGATGATGAACTAACAAGTTAAATTTCCAGCCTGTGTAATTACATTATGTCTGCTATTTATATAGCACAATAAGTTCAACAGCTTTCTAAAGATTTTTAGATAATTGTTGGCTTTAATGTAGATTAATTCTCCTCTTTACCTTGCACTACACAAAATGGCAAACTTCATATTTCTCTAAAGTCTAAACGTGTTAAACTGACAAAATAACACATGTACTAAGCCTGGAAACTTTGTTTTTGTTGCTGGTCATGAATCCAGGTAGCAACTTCCCACCAATTTACACAACGTCTGTACTAATCTGTCTGTAAATTTACAACACAGTGGCCCAAGCAATATTAAGTGCATGCTTGACACTTTCTAAATTATCACTTCTTCTATGAACTTAACTTATCACTCCTATGAACTTAACTCATTACAAACACCTCGAGTTTTGTACTGGGTTACATCATAAAGCAGAGAGACAAGACATTTGCACCTCTGGCTTTATGGTGCGTGTTTAACTGGACAGTCTAATTCATGTGGTGTTTGTACAGGGAATTTTCAGTGGGTATCAAAGCTGAAAAAGGAAGCACCGTTTTACCTGGGCTTCACTTTGTTTTGCTTCATGGAAGTTTCTGTCAGTTTTGCTAGTAGAAGACTGATCAGGATATTTTTCATTACGTGGTTCATAAATAAATGACTGTGAAAGCATCTATTTAAAATTAAGAACAAAATATGTGGAAAATATACAAACATACTTTAACTGAATTAGAACCACAGGTTTCATTTTTTTTTTACAATATAATGGTTACTAATACCGGCATCACAGTATTGTGTACCATCTTTGCTTTTTTATGATAAGAAAACTGTTTTAAGCATGCATCTACATGCATCTGATATTATATAATCCAGGGTTGAAAGATTTTTGGACATACAGAAACATTCAGTGGCTTAAGCATTGAAAATTAGAGACACGATATGTATAAAACCATACCTGCAACAAAATGGATATAAGAACTGTGACAATGCCCCTGCTATTCCATAATAATAAAATTTTTCTACGATCATGTCATGCTATGCAGACATTTAGTTTGCACTGAGAAAGACTGGCTCATGTGACATGATGAGAGATTGACATGGCAGTAAACATGTGACAGTGTTGAGTGATTCTTCCTATAACACAAATGTGCAACAAACTTTTAACATTTGTCCATATAAAATATACAATCAAATGTTTTCCTTAGTTTTCACAATTATGCACAACTTTAAGTTGGTGAATCACATATAACAAGACAAACCTTTTGTAGTTGCAAAGTGATAAAATAAAATATATATTTGAAAAGGAATTTATGAATTTGTATTTTATTCTCGTCCAGATATTAGCTTAGTATTTTAGATGTGGATCATAAATTATTCCTCATGTTCAGTCTGAAGGAGCATTAACACCTCACAATAATGCCAGATAATTTCATCTCGCATGAACACTTCCCATCGTTTCCATCGCAACCGTGTTTGTTCTGAACTGACGACGTTTGACTCCAGCCGTTTAACCGGTCAGCTCCATTCTGCGCGTTGAGAATCAGGGTGTATCGTGGTAAAACAGCAAGTCGACTCTAAGAGCAAACTGTCCGAATTATTCCAAGAGCTACGATAAAGCAAATTACTGTTGTTGTCATTTCGCCATGTCCTGCTGGTGAGGCGCCAAAAGGTGAAATACGACACTATCATATTATGAATGATCTGAGCTCATTTAACAGGTCAATGCATGATTTAATTTCCTATTTATAGCAAAGTCTGATCCAGAAGGGAAAGAAAGGCTGAGCAGGTGAAATGAAAACTTCAAGTGTTTATAGGTCTCTGGAATACTATCATGCCTGAAATGTGGAAGGCTGCATGTGTATGCACTTAATGCACAATCACACAGCTTGCATAAATGGCTGAGGCTTAGCCTGTGTTAACACTTTATGTATGACTTGCTAGATTACATGGCTAACACCACATGATTGCTTTACTGCTTGATACCATGTTCCAAATGAGCGGCACAGTCACATGCTGATCTGTACAGCACACAAGAACAAAGGCTCTTATTTCCTGTAATTAAATAGCGTAGTGTTTCAACAGCACAAATGTACACAATAGTTTGAAAACACACCATGTAATAAAGATAGGCATATGAATTGACAACAAGAGCGAGCTTCTTAAGTCTTCATAAATCATAAATCACTAAATTAACAGGTGAAGTGGGAAATTAGCAGCAGCACAACACCATAAAAGGCAAGAAAGGAATTTATGTGGCTTTCATTGAGTTGACTTGGGTTTTTTTTTTTTTGCCGTTATTTATTAATCCACACTTCCATGCTGACTTTGAAATGGTTTTTGTTTCTTTAAAGTGAAACACGTCAGAAGAGTTTTAGTTTTATTTAAAGTAGATTCATAATCACATTTGACATATGTTTAAGTTCCCTTTAGAAAACACCCAGAATACATAGAAGTAGGCAAACAAAACATTTGAACTGTTAACTTGAAATAAAGTAAATAAGTGGGAGTTTATTGTTAAGAATTTCAATGAGGTAAAAATGCTTAAATGTACAAAGTGTTCCTTCGTGTCCCTTACATGTTAACTACCTTTTGATGGCAGCTGGACACTTTTCTTGTTGCCCTACCATCACATTTTTATTTTTCCTTACTTTACGATCTCCTTATGATGTACCTACATGCAGTCAATGTTTAACCACAAAAAGTGACATTTATGTATCACTAGGCAACTCTCACATCGGTTCAAACTACGTATGTCAGTCCAACTAAGTAATTATAACAATTTTATTGTACTTTTTGGAAGACTCTAGAATGCCATAAGGGGCATTTTTAAACATGAGGAAAAATGCATGCATTTGCCCCAGTTTTAAACATGCCATAAAAAAAGACTAAGAAAAATCTTAATGACTTACCATATTCACTGCTGTTTTTCTTCTCCTAGATCGCGAATGTTCTCATGTTCCTCGATCCTGCATGAGTATATTTATTACACACTCCTTCTCTTCCTCTGTCTCCACCCCTACTCATGTTTCCTACCATTTTCATGAAAGTGCCACGGCCAAACACCCTTTGAGCTCCTGCAGTTTAGCTTCTTTTAGTTACCAATATCATTTTGTAACATTAACTGCAGAAGTACATGATGCTCAACTCGTGCACATGTTGAACCTATTAATTAGTATTCATTCCCTTACTTTCTTGTGAATAACTGTCACATCTGCATGAGGTTTTAGCTTGCCATATTTGTTATTTTAATAACAAATATTGCAACAACAAAGATGCTTCTCTCCCTGGAGAGAAGCATCGCAGTAATGCATGAAACTCATGGGAGTTTCAAGAGTAACTTGAAACTCAAATGTTTCAAGTTACTTTTTGATAAAACAGTTAAAACAGTTTTTAAATTAGTACTTTGTTGAAGAAAATCCAAGAATTTTGAACCACAAATAATTATATCTGCAAATACGGAATCAGGAGTAGGTGGCATTCGACTGTAC